AGAAAAAAAGAAAGAAGAAAAAGGAAGTGAGAGATGGAGACTGGAGCCTAGATTCCCTGACTTAAGTCCAGTAGTTTGTTGCCGGATAGATCCATCTTTTTTGTGTGTGTGTGCGTCAGTTGGAGTCTCACTCTGTCACCCAGGCCTGAATGCAGTGGCATGCTCATGGACACGGCAGCCTCGACCTGCTGAGCTCAGGCAATCCTTCGCTTCAGCCTTCCAAGTAGCCAGAACCACAGGTGTGTGTGCCACCATGCCTGGCTAATTTTTTGGTTTATTGTAGAGACGAGGTCTCGCCAAGTTGCCCAGGTTGGTCTCAAACCCCTGGGCTCAGGCAGTCTTCTCACCTCTGCCTCCCAAAGTACTGGGGTTACAGGCATGAGTCACCGCGCCTCGCTATATCCATCTTTAAGAGTGAACATGACAATATATAAAGTGGCAGCTAATCTGCAGCTGTTTTCCCACCAGTACCTGACCCAGCAAGAACTGAGAGTGTCAGAAATGCTGGGCTTGACCTCAGCCACCAGGTAAAATACCCTCCGCCAATTTTACCGACCCTGAGGTTCAGAGATTTTCACTAACCTGCCCAACACGGAATTAGAACTCTTTGGAATTCCACTTGCACGAGCTGGTTGAGGTATGAGTTGGGCAGATGGTACAGGGGGACTGTGTTCGAGTCATGAGGCCTGAGCCTGGCAGCTGGACCCATTTGCTTGGCCAGGGAACATAAGGTAAAACGTATATTCCTGCCCACTCAGGGAAAAGCACAAGGCAAGAGAGAAGCACATGTAGAAAGAATGACCTTGACCGCAAGACAGATAGGGAGTGGGACGGTCGGTGGGAAGAGGCAGAGCGGGAGATGCTACATCCAGACCCTCAGCTGGCAGGTATTCCCTGCACCCCTGTGCCCGGCATGCTGGGCCTGAGGATGGGAAGACCAGGCCTGACTTGGGTGCTGAACTGCTGTGGGAAGAGTGGGAGTGCACACGGGCCTCTGTGGTCTGGAGCCCGCTGTTTCTACCTCCCAGGTATCTTTCAAAGCCATTGCTGTCATTCTGGTCTCGGCTCAGGACTGTTGTCGCCTCGGCCTGCCAGACTTTCTGTTTCCTTCTGCTTTCCTCCAATCTGTTTTCCACACAGCACCTGCTGTCCTCTTTGAGTCGGGGTCTCACTCTGTCACCCGGGCTGGAGTGCAGTGACATGTTCATGGCTACCATAGCCTCGACCTACTGGGCTCAGGAGATCCTTCTGGGACTAAGGTGTGTGCCTCCATGCCTGGCTAATTTTTTGATTTTTCTGTGAAGATGTCTCGCTATGTTGCCTAGGCTGGTCTTGACCTCCTGGGCTCAAGCAATCCTCCCACCTCGACCTCCCAAAGTGCTGGGATTACAGGTATTTTTATTTGTAAAGATAGTCTCCCTATGTTCCCTAGGCTAATCTCAACCTCCTGGGCTCAAGCAATCCTCCAACCTCAGCCTCCCAGCTGGGATTATAGGCATGCACCACCACACCTGGCTAATTTTTTTTTTGTATATGGAGTCTCACTCCTTTGCCCAGGCTGGAGTGTGGTGACATGCACACTCATGGCCACCCCAGTGGCGGCCTGCTGGGCTCTAGCGATTCTTCTGTCTCAGCCTTCCGAGTAGCTGGAACTACATACATGCGTTACCATGCCCGGCTATTTTTTATTTTACTGTAGAGACAAGGTCTCGCCAAGTTGCCCAGGCTGGTCTCGAACCCACGGGCTCAGGCAATCCAATCGCCTCGGCCTCCCAAAGTGCTGGGATTACAGGCTGAGCCACTGAACCCGGCCAATTTTTTTTTTTAATTTGTAGGGACTGAGTCTCCCTGTTACCTAGGCTGATCTCAATCTCCAGGGCTCCTGAAGTGCTGGGATTACAGGGACGCCCCGCCACGCCCAGCTAATTTATTTTTTATTTGTAGAGAGAGAGTCTCACTACCTTACCTAGGCTGGTCTCAAGCAATCCTCCCACCTGGGTCTCCCCAAGTGCTGGGATTACAGGCGCGAGTCACTGCGCCCGGCTGTCCTTTCGGTGGCATCCAGCCCCCGCTCCCAGCCCACCCTACTCCTGCCAGGCTTCTGGAACGCGACGTCTTCCTGCTTGAGGACCTCACACACCTTCCCACCCACTCCTCCCCACCGCCTTCAGCTTCCATCCCAACCCTTCAGGTCTCATCACCCCCAGGCGGGATCCTCTGCCCTCGGTCCTCCGCTTCATGACCTTTTGAGCACTTAACAGGAAGCAGGCGTTACAGTCTGCTTGAGATCCCCTAAGGGCAGGGGAGGTGTGTTTTCCCAGGATCCAGCCTGCGGTTGGTAGTCCACACACACACCTCTGATGAATGAACTCCCCAAGCCCATTTCTTCATTTGCAAAATGTCATCCATGCCACCTAGCTTTCAGATGACCACCAGAACAATGCCCACAGATTTGGTCTTCGCCATGCACCAGTCATTGAGGTTTCTATGCAGCTGTCACAAAATCCTAGCCCTCCGTCCATTTTACCGATGAGGAAACTGAGACACAGAGATTTTAACTCATCTGCCCAACAGAGTCAAGAAGAGGCGGATGGAATTTCAGCCTAGATCATCTGACTCGAGTCCTAACTCTACTCTGCAGGGTCAAGCACAGAGCAGGTGCCCAGGGAGGCCATGGAGGGATCTGCCCTCACCCGGGAGGGCGAGGAACTCGCAGAGGACAGTGGAGTGAGGCACAGGGCTAGGATGCTGGGTTATAAGTACCGGTCATCTGCACTCTGGCCCTGCTTCCGGCCAGAGACTGCTGCGGACTTGCCATCGCCTGGACAGGCCAAAGCAGGCAGGGGCTCCTCGAGGACCTAAAGCAAGCAAGACGCCTAGCCAAGGCCCCTTGTGACCTGGACCTAGTCCTAAAACTCAAACGAGACCAATCAAGTCCACACATCAGAGCTGGTTTCTTCCAGAATATTCTCCTTAATGTGGCCCGGACCTCTGCTCCCCTAAAATAACCGTCTTGTTAGTGACATCAGAATCAAGTTCACCTTTTTTTTTTTGAGTTGGGAGTCTTCCCCTGTTGTCCAGGCTGGAGTGCAGTGGCACACTCATGGTTACCACAGCCTTGACCTGCTGGGCTCAGGTGATCCTTCAGCCTCAGTCTTCCAAATAGCTGGAACTATAGGTGCATACCACCATGCCCGGCTAATTTTTTGACCTATTGTAGAAAATCTCACCACGTTGCCCAGGCTGGTCTCGAACCCCTGGGTTCAGGCAATCCTCTAGCCTCTACCTCCCAAAAGTGCTGGGATTATAGATGTAAGCCACTGTATCTGGCCTGTTAAAAGTAAATGTAAACAGCTCATTTTCACTGCATACTTTTATAATATGTATAAAAATTGCCCACATTGTCACTTTCAAGAATGCAAGTAAGATTCAAATGCATATTATACTTCAAAGAATCTTCCCTTATGCTAAAAAGTGGTAATGCCACCAGAGTGCTTCAGACACTTTGTAAGAGTTTAGGCAAGAAACATTACTAATGGTGTCATAAATATTATAACTTTATTAAAATGAAAAGACAATATTCAAAATAATGCAACAAAATGAATAAAATCCTTTGTCCAATACTGTACACATAATGCAGAAATCAGTGCATTTTTCTTAAGCATGTTTTAACCTTCATTTAGTTCATACTAAAATAGAATAAGCTTTAAATAGCTCAAATAATCTTCAGCAGTTTAAACTGTAAACAGCGTGTTGAACTGTTACGGGAACGTTGTAGTAATGTACCTCTGCTAGTGAGCACCTCCTCTTTTGGGCTTATCTGTTCAAGATACATACATGAAGAGCGTAGAGACAGGAACACAAGCCGTGCGTCTCACTGCGTCTAAGCAAAGCAGCAGCGGGACCTTCAAAGCAGAGACGCTGATGTGACCTCTGGTATTAAGACATACTGTGCTGTTGGTCAGAAGTGTTTTACTTAAAAAGCAAACAATCCCCAGGAAATACTGAATAGGAACCAGCAACACAAGGCCAGCTTGTGTTGTATTTGTTTATTCATATAGTCTAAAAAAAAAACAAAAACAAAAACACCACACACATCCCCACACAGTAACTCTCAATCACAGAGCTAATTGCTTCATTATTTCGTAAAACTGACATCCTAAACGCTGACATCTGGTGTACTTTTCCATTTGAGTCTGCTGTGGCCCCGTTTCTGGGAGCCTAGCCTACGACAAGCCAGCTCAGTGGGGAAATCAAGCAGGAACTGTCAGGAAACATTACTTGCTAATTCTAGGATCTTGTTTCATTTTTCAAGATGCGAGACATGTACTGGTGACAATATGGTTGCCAAACAAACTGCTGCCTCTCCCCTCAACAAAAATGAAACCTGCAGGTGTCAGGCCTTGGGATGACTTTTAAACCAGGCAGGGACAGTCATGGTAAAGAACAGATGCCCTGCCCTCAATGGAAAAGACTGCTCACAAAAATAAATGCAACGGAACACAACAGGCCTAAGAGCCAGAAATCTTCAAATGTACTAAACAAAAATAATGTTTACGATTCCGATCTACATGATGCTGTATCTTCTTCCATGTGCTCAATTTTCAGTCTATCAGGACTCATTTCTCCAGCTGGAGTTTTTCTTATTTGAATATATATTACTCTAAGGTAGTAGCTAATCGGTTAACCTGCAACTATGGTCTAATGGGTTATACCACAAGTGTATATATAGGTGTATAATGTATGCATATATAAAAAGTTCCCCATCCTTCCCTCCCGCCATCACATCTTTAAATTATAGACTTGAATAGACTTGGCTCCAGCGTTAACAAACCAGGGATTCTCAGCATATCAGCATCTCACAACTGCTCTGAGCCTTTCTCATTAAGACAGAGAGTTCAGCTAGTTGATTTTGCAGTCTGAAAGGTCCTTCTGTGAACTGCAATCAAACTGGGAAACGGAGCCACATGCTCCTATGTGGGACTGCAGAACACGCCCAGAGTCAAGGAGAAACCACGTAGGACAAGTGTTTACGCTTCACGTGGGCCCCCGGGTCAGTTTTTGTTTTTGAGTCCAGCTTTTCTGTAGCGGAAACAGCACCCCAGTCAGCAGGTGACGGCTGGGTTGGGGCGCTTGCATTTGTCTCCTCTGCTTCCCGAAAAAACTTTTCGTATTTGTCCAGGTACGGTGGCCTCTCAGGTAGTAGGTAATAGTGTGTCGAGCTGACCTTCTTCCCATTTTCAATAATGGGCAGGATGCAAGGGGCCTTGTTGGCAGACCCCTCGCTGTTCTGTCTCTGCAGGGCTTTGCTGCTCACGTACTTGGGGTCGGGGGCAAAGCTCTGTGTCGGGGGCATGACCCCGTTGAGGTAAGCCGGGAGGCTCTTGGGGCTCGGTGTGCGGGAGCTACTCCGCGACAGAGGTTCTCTTGGCGGCACCTTGGGGGGCCGGTCTTCGTCGCTGTAGGTGCTGGAAGTCACCTCTGCTGACCACCTTCGGTAATCTGGCTTCACAGGCCTGGGGGGGATGGGAACCCTAGGGGGGACCTCAGGTTTGTCCTCATCGGAGTTCGGAGACGCTCTGTGCATGCAGCTGGATATCCTGATGGCTGGTTTGTGAAAGGACCCAGCTGGCCCTGAGTGGGACCGTCTTAATCTTCGATGGCTTTGAGGCGGAGGATTGGGACTGGGGACCCCTCCATTTTGGTCAGACGCACAGCTGAGGTCTGCTGCGGAAACGGCTGGGGTATCAAAATATGCATAGTTGATCTGTCCACACCCACGAAAGCTTCGCCTGCCAGGAACATCGTACTTGAAATCAGAAGGTGCACAGTCTTCTAGCAGGAAGTCTGTGTCGGAGCTAGTGAGGAACTCGACCTCACAGTCTGTCTCGTCCAGGGAGAGGTCTTCTGAGATTGGCAGGGGCGGGAGGGGCCTGGAACCCCGCTCACACAGAGGGGCGCCAGGGAAGAGGGAAGTGGGGGTTTTGATGGGCGTCAGTGGGGGAGGAGAAGCACAAGCCCCGTTCACCGCCAGTTTCTTAAAACCACACACAACCTGGTCCTCTTCGTGCTGCCCCAAGTTTTCGCTTGGGGGGATGACAAGCGGGGGGAGGCTGGACTTCGGAGACGGGCCATTTTCTGCGAAGTAGTGGCCGTTCGTTGGAGCAGACTTGGCCGTGTGTCCTGGAATGAAGGGCAGATGTTAATGGAAGCCCAGCAGACCCGCCCCAGCCACCGTGCGTCCACATCGTCCGCCTCAGCTTGACGGCAGCAACTCCAAAGACACTCGGGCAATAGCCACAGTGGTAATTAGAGGCCAGAGCACAGTGAACGCACGTGACCTGGTTCAAAGAACAAACTATCTCTTCTATCTCCCTTGGACATGTGCACGGCACACACCCACACATCACAGACAGGTTTTGTGACGTGCACAAAATTCGCAGAAGATGCACAGCATATAATTTCCATGAATGCCACACGACACCAGCCTGGCACATGGCATGCGGAGCACAGGCGAGATAAGCCAAGGCCCTTACTGCTGGCATATCATTACACTGGGAGGGAAGGGACAGGGTGCGCCGCGTGCTCAGCTGGTAAGCAGCTGCTGACAGAACCCAAGGGACGTAATGTCGCATTAAATGAGCTGCAGACACATGGTTGTCTAAGTCCTGATCAACATGTATACCACGTTCATGTGCCACTCTCACGCGTGCATTGAACACCAGCAAGAAAGGTGAGATCCTATCCAGGGTTTCTAAAAGCTAAGTGTGCATCGGAGCCGAAATGAGAACTCACTCCTGATTTCAAAAGCTCACACTTCCACCAAGTTCTAGTTAGGAGTCAGGGACTCGGGGAGCCGCTTGAGAGAAACACGGTCATCTTCAGAAGCGGCGGCCACTAGGGGTCAGGCTACCGCTGGAAACAGCAGGCTTCTTGGTTAAAACATCACCCTGGAGGACAGGCCACAGTATCCCTACTGTCCCTCAAACGGTGACGGCACTCAGACGATCAGAATACGTACCTGTGGATGCCAGGGGCTCCCGCGTGGTGGAGTCCAGACTGTAGGCCATGGCCAGCGGGTCGATGTGCAAAAAGTTGCTGCAAGGAAAGGAGATGACCTCGGTCACCCACAAGCAGCAACCATCTCTCTCGTTTTACTGTCACATTCCTACAGATGACAGCGGGCCCCACTCCCGACTTACTTTTTAAACTCACTGTGACGGCCCCAGCAGGTCTTCAGAGTCCCCATAGTTTGGCCATTATGCAGAAACCCAGTTTTCAGTGGAACGCGAATCTCCTGAGCAGCAACTCCGGCTGTGGACATTGTGTCTGATTCTGGGATGTCTCCAAATCTGGGAGGCCCAGGGATTCTCAAAGCAACCAGTAGCTTTCATTCCCTAGGGGAGAAGAGGAGAGGACAGGATGAAGGAAGTAATTCAGAAACACCTCGACCAGGACAGTCTCAATGACAGCAAAGCTGATGTGGGAATTCGGGGGACGCCGAGTGGACAGTTTTGCTGGCGACTTTCACTTCACTCTTACACACTGCAAATAAGTTTTTTGGTAAACACCGATCGAAGCCATGCAACATTTTAGCAAAACGAGAAACGGCCCACTGCCAGCAGAAGCGGCCTCGCGCCGCAAGGCTGGGCGGTTGCACAACACATCACACTCCTTTGCCAAAGCTCACAGACCCTCCCCCACCCGTGACCCCAGCACCAAGCCCAGAGGAATCTCATCTGCCCAAGCTACATAAGGGACTGCAGAAATGCCTGTATTTTATTCCGCAGAACTAATGTTCCCTAAAACCCAATGCTGAAATTAGACAAGAGACCCTAGTAGAGCACTGGCACACGACGACCTCACAGTCTGGCATTTACTCAGATTTTATATTTCAGGGCTGACCTTGGGAAGACAAATTCCAGTCACTGCTTGTTCAGGAAAGAGTTACATGTGAAGATACTGATTTCCATTATCCTGTAAAAATCGAGTTCTGCAAGATGACTAGCTTCAGTGGAGGCCAGGGACAGCTCCCTCCCTCCCTTTTCAAGACAAACTTCAAGGTACATTCTTCACATTCTCTGCGGGGAGATGCCTCTACTTCAGGCCCTGCTTAGCTGCCAGGCATGGATGACACAGGCTGAGGACAATTTCCTTCTACCAGGGGTTCCTCTCCCACTTGTTACCCTCCTGCTGCCCCCACAGCCCTTTTCTAATGATTCGTTATATAAGTGCTAATTAGCATCAGATACTCCTGTTTACTCACAATGAGTTCAGGCTTCTTCCCCTTGGGCACCAGGACACTATCTGTCAACCATCTGTAGGACACTGACCCCTTCTGGGTATGAACACAGAACACTCTTCCTCATTTTCTCAACTCTGCACACCTACTACGAGCTATGCACTATGCTAAGACCAAGAATGATGCGAGATGACTATGACACATTTGTTAGGGAGAGGGGTACATGGTTTTTTTTTTTTTTTTTGAGTTGGAGTCTCACTCTGTCACCCAGACTGGAGTGCAGTGACCACTCCCGGCCACCACAGCCTCGACCTGCTGGGCTCCAACAATCTTTCCGCCTCAGCCTTCCAAGTAGCTGGAACTACAGGTGTGCGCTACCACGCCCGGCTAATTTTGATTTATTGTAGAGATGAGGTCTCGCCAAGTTGCCCAGGCAGGTCTCGAACCCGCGGGCTCAGGCAATCCACTCACCCCAGCCTCCCAAAGGTGCGGGATTACAGGCTGAGCCACCGAGCCCAGCTGGTTTTTTTTTTTAATTGTTCAGGAACGTCCACTCTATTATTTACAAATCTGTCACCTTCTACTGGACTATGAGCTCAGAAAAGGAGGCAGTGTCTCAATCATCTTTGAAAAATCAGTCCCTGGAACATCAGTAGGTGCTCAGTAAGTGAATGTTTGTAGAATGAATGACTGTAGAATAGCATCATCAGCAGTATCAGCTGAATGTGGGCAGTATGGAAGGCCTAAGAGGTTCTTAAAGGTAAAAATCTTAAGAAAAACACTCTGCCGGTGTTTATTTCAACATTAAAAATAAACAGAGACAGTAATGTTCCACAGGTTAACGACTGCATCGACCAAGTAGAGGAGACGGAGCCCGATGACCAGCTCTCCGCATTCTGCTCTCCCAACGCCAGCTGTGAGATGCACCAGGCAGAGATTTCATGGCAGGTTTGAAACATCACTTCGGACAGTCAAGCAATACTTTTCTTTACATCGGTCTCTCAAAGATCCATGATAAAGGACCCTTTTCAAATTCTGTCACTTAAGAAACCTAAGCTATCAGGGCAGTCCACTGAGGGTTAGTTCTCAGATGCAGAAAGAGTGTTATCTACCTATCAAGTGGTAACAAATTTAAAAACCAATTAAACAAAAATTGCAGCCTCTCCCCATGTACTTAGCTCCGTGGCTTCCTGAGCTTTTTCTAAGCATTCTGCAAGCACTGACAAGACTGGGGGAAAGTCTCTGCGATATAAAAACGAAGGACGAGATAGCAAGAAGATGGTCTTTAAGTCGTTGGAAAGCACACGTTTGGAGATTGCTCACCCAGATTACAGGAAAACGCTGCGGGGGATGGGGGCTCAGCCCCCACCTGTCGGCAGGCCGGCAGGCACGACTAGTCATTACCGTGGGGCCGCCTCCTAAAGCCATCTAAATCTCAGCTTTCAACAGAGGGATTGTGCAACCATCGCCTCTGCAGGAATGGCCTTGGAATGCTAAGCCTACGTCTCAATGGTCACTTCAAATTATTTATACGTTCTAGAAAAAGTTATTTTTTATTCATTGTTTCCATCACCTACTTGTTAGCTTTCTTAAGAAAAAAATTTTTTTAGTATAAAAAGAATTGTGTTCAGGAAGCCAGCTCACTTCTGACCACAATAGTGTCTTTGTGTATTCATGGAAGGTGACCTGCCTCTCCATTTCAATGGGGAATTGTGAATGGGCCGGGTTATGAAACTGTCCGCACTTCCTACTCGCTGCATGGGAGAGGCCAGGGCAAAGGAACTGCCATGTTCTCCTCTTTTGGAAAACAGCCTCGAACTGCAGACTCGAAAAGGGTCACGTGCCGCGGGATTGGAAGAAACTGAGACAAATGTTCCCCAGACTGTGAGCGGAGGGCAAGAAACCACCTGAACCGACTCCACCTCTCAAAACCTTCTAGGACTCCGGTGGACACTCCTGAGTGGGGGAGGGATCAATCCATCGGGCCAACCTCAAGCTAACCAGAAGGACGCCCTGCTTAAGTGAAATGTAAATCACGCCACAATGTTTCAAATGTTACCTGTTTCCTGATAACCGGAAGGCCAGCTCTGTTTTACAATTCATTAGGGAAACAACTGCAAAAACATACCTATGTGGGAAAATCAGTATCTAACAGCACAAGACAGCATTCTGTCATAACACGCGGAAACAGAAACATGAATGCTAATCCAGGCTGCCTGGTTTCGACTAGGATCCAAATAACCCTCAGCACAGCTTCTCCAAAGTTCATAAACTCATCTTCAGCTTTTTTAATGGATCAAAAATGCAGTTAAATACCAATCCCACATGTGAACTACCTTTTCCGGATAACATCATTTGCTTTGGTTTTGAATTCAAAGGGAGGGACCCCTAAAACCATTTGTTTCTTGAGGCTTTCCTTTGATTTCATTCTCCAAGTACCTCCCGCTCAAGGTTGAACCCACATCCACAGCCTTGGCTCTGGTCAGCTCCTGAGCCCACGACTCCAGTCATTTCCATCTCCCATCGCCTGGCGATTGTCTTTCCACTTGGATGGTCCTCCGGCATCTCGAATCTACAGCTCTGACTCCTCCTTCCTCTTACTCCACACCCCGCCTCCCTCCCCCCACCAGTTCCCTCTTAAGAGGATCACAATTCTCCTCAAGGCACCATTTTTTTTTTGAGTTGGAGTCTCACTCTGTCGCCCAGACTGGAGTGCAGTGGCTGCTCCTGGCCACCGCAGCCTCGACCTGCTGGGCTCCGGCGATCCTTCCACCTCAGCCTTTCAAGTAGCTGGAACCACAGGCACGTGCTACCATGCCCGGCTTATTTTTGATTTATTGTAGAGATGAGGTCTCGCCAAATTGTCCAGGCGGTTCTCGAACCCGCGGGCTCAGGCAATCCACTCACCTCAGCCTCCCAAAGGCTCAAGGCACCATTTTTAACCTGAGGCTGCACACAATCAGTTGCCAAGTTCCACAGAGTATTCCCATGGTTTCTCAGGTCTTACTCTCCCTCCGCATACAGGCATCACCCTTTCTGGGGTCTGAAACACCTGGACCATCTTACATGCCAGAACCAGATCAATATTCCCTTACTACAGGTGGAATGAAAATCTTCACAGCTCAACAATCTTCCAAGCCTCCTAAAGAAAACCTCTTCAGCCTGGCACTCAGGGCCTCCAGAACATGGGCCTGATCTAGCTTTTGAAGCTCTTGCCTCCCTTTCCCCTAAAATCTGTTAGAATTCAGTTTAACCTTTAAGGCCAGGTCGTATGCGACCTTTTCCACAACCCTGCTCCCTTCTACCAAACACTGTTCTTGGGTGGTTTGGTGCTGGGCCCCATTCCCCCCACCCCTGTGTCCGACTTTTGTTTTCTCCCTGCAGATCCTGGCTCACTCTTCCCTATTTATTTATTAGATAAATAGGATACTGAGAAAATATCTCACTGAAAAAAAGTAATTACATAAAAGAGTCTCATGTAAGTCAGTGAGGAACTCAGGAAAAAAGCAGATTTGTAAGGGGTAAACTTAATATGTGCTGGAGTGATGCGACCGCCCCATAATAATGTAACAAGTTTAGAATATGAAACAGGAAGGAATTTTTATTAAATTCATTTCCAGAATTCAAAGTGAACAGTTTGCAGACTGAGCAAAAGTTATAAGCTTAAGTGCATAACAGTGTAACTTTCTAAACTGGTTTCTGCTACTATATATTTACTTGAAGTAGTTAGGGGTTGCTTCCTGCAAACAATGAATTTTACCTTCTCTTACATGCTAGTCCTTTCAGATTACAATGTATCTGCTGCTAAATTTAAAGTCACTTTCCTTAGAAAGAAAGAAAGAAAGAAAGAAAGAAAGAAAGAAAGAAAGAAAGAAAAATTTACACCAAAAAGCATACTGCACCTTCTTTATTAAGGTGAAACCATGTGCCTTTACTTGAAGATAGTCTCTGGGAAACTGCTGCAAAAAAAAGAAAAGAAAAGAAAAGAAAAGGGGGGAAAAAAAGCAAGCACCACCAGGCAACCCTAAGGCAGTAACCTAGATGTGCTCACCTTGCCACTAGCTCTCATGAATACGTCTCAGGAGCAATCCACAAGGGGGGAGGGGCACATTTTTGTCACACAACTCATCCAGTTCTGCCCAGTGCTTCC